AGGTGTAAATCGGGATGCACTAGCCCAATTTTGGCATAACCCAACATGATTGTGTGAGTCGTGCTATGTTTGGGGTTTTAGGTCCGTGGGTCGGACTAGCACAACACAATTGAGTGGGCTATGCCACCCGCGGCCCAACCCATATATATCATTTATATATATTATATATAATATAATATATTATAAAAATTATAATTATATAATAATATAATATATAATATATTAATAAAGTAAACAATTGTTTTTAATTTTATTATACTAATTTATTTAATTATTATATATAAGTAGTTGTATACATCAAAGTTCATATAAAATTAAGATTTTAAGTTTTTTTTAAATAAATAACTTTGGTCCGATCTATGGCCTGAATTGACCTCAAGGCTTGGCCTACAGGCCAACCCAGCCTACGGCATGGCACAAATCTGCACAAACTTGAACCATAGGCCGTGCTGGGCTGACCCTCCAAGTTATCCCAGTGGAGGGCGGCACGGCCCGTGGGCAGGCATGGCATGACCTGCACTTTGTGCAGGCCGCCCATGGGAAAAGTGCAGTGGCAATGATGGTCACCACATTTTTTAGTCTGTTTCTCTCAGATTTAATTTTCATTATTAGAAACTTTATTAAAAGTGAGATCAGTTAATTTTTCTTATTTTCCAATATCCTAGAAAATGATATAATAATACCTTATGTATTTCATACCAAGATGAGGCACAATGTCTATAAATTAGATCTTTCAAAGATCTGAAACTTTTGGGATAACCTGGTTTATTTTAATAAAATCATGATATCTATAAAAAAAACTGACCTATCAAAGATCTGAAACTTTGGCATTTGTCTACACAATTTTATGTTAATCTGAATGCATTTTGCATAAATCATTTATCCAGTCATTTGTATTTCTTAGAACCATAGGCAGATCTATATATATGTGATCAGTGTGGAAAAATGTCACTTAGATTTGAAAATTTTTAATAAAATAATGAAAATTTTAAAATTTTTCATAATTGCATCCACTCAAGACATACTTAAAATCTAAAACTGAAATCTGATTCTTATATCCTCACATATTTCTAGTAGGAGGCTTGGAGTAGGGTTATCAATGGATTGGATATTGGTCCAATCCAACCTGGTCCATATGAATCCGTTACAGATGGACCAGGTCCAATCCAATTCTATAAATACTTTTCACAGTTAAGTTAGATCAGTCCAATTCACTACGTCTTACCATCCAATTTGACCATATTGTTTTTAATTCAGATTGGATCCAACCCAAACCCAATATTGATTCCTCTATTCATTATCTTCTATCAATGGACTGGGTATTATTTCTACCCACGATAGTCCAATATAAATCCAATACATTGACCCAGGTCTAATCCAATCAAACTAAATGTACTTTGGGCCATTAAATTTGGACTAGTTCAATTCAATATGCCCTATTGAATCGTCCAACCCATTCAAAACGATTTTGATTGAGATGGGGTATAATCCAAACCTGGTCCATTAACACCCCTGTGGAGGTGGAAATCAAGGAACCGAAGTAGGTAGACTCCTACCACTCTATCTCTATTCATCGTAACATTCTTGAAGGATGGAAAACACTTGACGATCGAGATCTCTCCCTTGGTGTTTTAGATGTTACAACCCTTAGCTAGTTTTTTATACAAAATTGTCCTAACCGTTGTTATGTTAGGAATAATTAATGTTTTGTTATTCATCATTTAATTATTTTTAAGTTTTAAATCCTTAATGCTTTAGAATATTAGAAAAAAATATAGGAGTCCATTTGTAAGATGTTTATTTTTCTTAAAATGCTTAGAGTGAAAAATATTTTAATCTCAACCTTTTGTTTTAATTACTCAAATATTACAGGGTGTTAATGTCATTGCATTATATTGGGAAATGTTGCATAGGTATTGCGTTAATTATCGCTTAGTAATAAAGGCATACAACATTTGTTGTAGGTATATATAATGATGAAAATTTAAAATATATAATTTTACCATAGAAGTTTCCATGATGAAAATTTAAAATTTAGATTCATGTACATGCATGAGATTTTAACCCATTTTATGTTCTTATCCATGGAAACTTTGGGGGTAGAGTCAAGTTAGTACCCAAACTTTCAAATGTGTCACTGCAGTATCTAAACTTTTAAAAAGTGTCAAGTTGGTCTTTGTTGTTAACCGACCGTTAGTTACCGTTAGAAAATGTCAAAACTACCTTTCAAAAGAATATACTATTCACTGTCTTATACCTTGAGACTGAACTGACTATCTTCAAAGAAAAAGAGAGAAAAACATGAAATACGATATAGGAAAATAATAACTGAAAGAAAAGAATTAACTAGACAAGAATGTGTTTCATATCTAAAGGTAGAAGACAATGACTTAGTAGAAATCACTAATTGCAGATTTAGTCAAATTTCTTGTAAAAGAAAAGAGGGGGAAGATAAAGATTTCAGCAGTATAGAAAAAAGGAGAAGAAAAAAATAGTAGGAAGTCAACCAGGATTATATTAACCCTAACCACCTACCTCTCATTATATTTATACTTAACTTAAGGGATGGGATATTACAAGGATGCCCTTAGTAGGGCGGTTACTAATATATCTGAACAGTCACAACTTAAAATAAACAAAAAACATAAACTAATGGGCCTAAAGCCTAACAACTTCCTAACTAAATAAAAACAACTCCGATCAATTCAACAAACTTGATTAGTCTAGAATCTCAAACCCCTCAACTGGTACATTCTCAAGGTAAAAGACAATGAATAATGTCTTCTTTTGAAGGATAGTTTTGACATTTTCAACAGATAATTGACTCGGTTAACACCTTAACAGCTACCAACTTAATTAACACTTTTTGAAAGTTTAGATACTAACTTGACACTACCCCCAAAGTTAAGAAATTTCCTTTTTTTTATAACTCTTTTAGAAAACATTAATAACTTGAATATACTACTTGCATCAACCATCATCATCTACATCGTTACTCTGATGTAGATGAAGCAAAACATATATATACGTTAATAAACAAAAAGTTGGAAGACACAAACAAGTTCATAATTCATATACAACACATGCGTACGTAATCAAGCAACCTGATGCAAAAAGCAAAGCCTTTCTCCAAACTTCAAGGATTGACATCTATACAAATTTACGACTGGTGACGACGTTGTTTTCTCTGGGATATGCGTTTGTTGCTTCTCATGATGTCCAACATTATTTTATCAACAGTTTGATCCACAAGATGGAAGTAGGCATCACTCCACGACCTTCTCATTGCCATTACCGCAAAAGGTACCAACAAACCCGCTGCAAATCCCAAGCTAGCGCTCAGGTAAAACCACTTACCCATCACTTCATGACTACTATTTGGTTCCTCATCGTCATCTTGGCATTTTATAAGCAGTGGAGGTCCACAAAGACCTGGATTTCCGTTGAATGAGGACTCGTCAAGTGTCATGAGCTGACCAGAAAATGGGACTGAACCAGAGAAGCTGTTGTTTGATAAGTTGAGAGAGCTCAGAAATGTCATGGACGCCATGCTAAAAGGAATGGCACCAGATAACTCATTATTTGAGATATCGAAAGATTGCAATTGGTTCAAGTTTGCAATTCCTGAAGGAATTTCTCCACTGATATGGTTTCTAGACAAATTTAAAGAAATCAAACCGGACAAATTTGTTAATACCCCGGGGAACTCTCCATTTAACTCATTGTTAGAAAGGTCGATGCAAGTTACAAGGGAGAGTGTCTTGGAGAATGTGAGAAATAGGCCCTTCATGGAGACAGATAAGCTTTCTTCATAATATTGTGCTACCCCATAGTGTTATGATGGTTTACTTTATGCACATGACCCATTGCTTTAAGACTTCCTAGGCTGATAGGAATGTTGCCAATCAAACTGTTGTGGGCAAGATCCAATACAGAATGCTTAGATTGGAAAGATGAGAGGGAATTCGACCTGAAAATGAATTTGATCTCAACCGCAGAATCCTAAGAAGAGCTAGGAGTTCGCCAATCCAAGATGGAATTTCACCAGAGAAATTGTTGTTTCCAAGATCTAGAGTTTCCAATTCCGTGCAATTCTGCGAGGACAATGGGAGCTCCCCCATTAACTTATTGTCGCTGAGGTGCAGACTCTGAAGCTGCTTCAAATGACCAACTGACTCGGGCATCAACACAAAAAGCAAATTCTGTCTGAGGTCCACCACAATTAGATTAGAACAGTTCCCTATGGTGGAAGGGATGTTGCCCGTCAAATTGTTTCTTGAAAGATTAAGTAGCTCCAGAGATGACATATTTCCAATGGAGGGTGGGATCTCCCCTGTTATATTGTTATTTGAAAGAATAAGGTAGCGCAAATTGGATAGTACTTGGCCGATGTTGGACGGTATGGTTCCTTGTAAGAGGTTGGAGCTAATAAAATCAACAGAAGAAGCTAATGACACTACCTTAAGTGGGTTGGCAATTCACCTTCCAATTTATTGAAAGAAATGTTTAACAAAATCAAATTGGAAGACAAGTCCCAAAACCAGTGGGGTATTGAGACCGAAATGCTTGCGTTGGGGATATCTAATACTGTGAGATCAGTTTGGGTTTGAAGCCAAGCAGGAAAAGAAGGGCCCAACATGCAAGATCCCATCTCTAGAGAGTGGAGCTTACATGGAGGGACCCACTTGGAGCTAACATTCAAAGTTAAGGAATTGGAAGATATGTCCAATTCCTCCAATTTAGTAAGGTTTGAGAAATGAGCTTCAGACACGGTACCTGTCAAGAATGGGGCCTTTGAATAAGTTATAGTCCAAATAAAGCACCTGTAAATTCTTCAGTTGAACCAACCAATCAAGTTGCTGCTGCAAGGGTTTGCAATAGACCTTGGGATTCTTCCACTGATGTTATTATGATACAAACCGACATGTACCAAAGATGTCATGTTCCTAATGGAGGCAGGGAGTTTCCCATGTATTCTATTGTCATTTAACTTCAGAAATTCAATTTTTCTCCAGCTTCCCCTGAATAGTTTGTGAGCAACTGGCCGAAAGATTTTCATTTACAGAAAGGTCCAAATATTTCAAATTGGGAAGCTCCGAGATACCAAGGGGAATCCTTCCATGCAATCTGTTGTCGCTCATATCCACATGGACAAGGCTGCTCACATTCAAGATCCAATCTAGTATGTTTGAATTAATGTTATTAAAACTGAGATCAATAACTGCAAGTGATGTAAAATTAACAACAGATTGATGATGAAGGGATGGAATGACACCTGCAGAGAGGCTACACCGTGATAAATGCAACTCAGTCAATGACAATAGCATATTTGGCAGTTGGATCCATTTGGATCCTACCAGTGAGAGGTCCACTCCGTTCAACGCCAAGTGTCTCAAGAAACGAAGACCACTTATCCATTCAATATCAGCTAGCCTTTGAGTAAACTTAACAGTTGGTAGCAATAGCAGATATGGATGGAACACAGAAGAAGAGATATCAAGAACCCAAGAATTCAGGAATTGGGATGCCTTGAAATGTGCTGCCACTCAAGTCTAAATGTGTTTCAATGACTTAAGCCTTAACAAAGCAGGATCAATCTGCCCACTTAAGTTCCAGAATCCATACCTGTTGTTGGAAGAGTCATCATAATAAGGGTCATATGGATATGGATTGTGGAGGTCGATTCCAATTACGGCTCCAGTATGGTTGTTGCAGATCACCCCCTTCCATTGACAACAGTTGCTTCCTTGCCATGAGGAGAGCCGATTTTCAGGGTTACGAGTGCATTTTTGAAGTCCATAAGAGCTTCTTTATCAGATTCTAAGCAATGGATGCCATCAACTCTATAGATTGATTCTCCTGACAAGAAGCACAAAATAAATAAAATCCAAGTAACAATAGAAAATATTCCCATCATCTTGATGAGCAGCAACTCTCAACTCACAAACTCAATTGCTATGAACACTTGATTGTGTATAATTCTCTTACTGCAGTTCATTTGGTTTTGAGTATTTATCAGCACTCCTCTATATCCATAAGTTGCTTTTCTAAAAGAAAATCTGTAATCATATATAATTCATCAAAACCAGAAATAAAACTACACTTTTCCCTCTCTTTTAGCAACTTCTTTTTTAAAAGAAAGGAAAAAAATAAATCTGAAGTCGTATTTCGTTCAAAATATGTATAGAAAACAATTTCCTCTTTCTCTCCCTCATTATAACTACCAAAAATACAGTCTACAGAACGAGTTCTCTGTGAGATATACACAATTCATTGAGGATTGGAATAGACGCTAACGGCGGGAATCTCTGTTAAAGGTTGTCTCTTTTATTGTTGGTGAGGGGAGAAAGTTAGACGCAAAATAAAGGGCAAAATTAAGTCTTCATAAACATTTAATCCCGCATGATGGATGGAGTACTAACAAAGGGGAGGTGTGTGTTTGCTGACTAGACCTAGCAAAAAGTCAATCAAATCCACGATCCCGACCCGATCCAGTCTCCTATGCAGTGACCCAAACTAGAGGTTGACATGACCTGGCCCAACCCAAAAAAGTCCGAGTTGGATTGGGTTGGGTCATGGGTCATCGCTAGGTTGCCTATTTTCATACCAACATATTCGAGCTGGTGTTGAGTAGGTTGTGTTTGGTATCATTCTCATTCCATGCTAAAATGTTTTGGGTAGTGTGGGTGGTACAAGTTTTAATGGTTAGAAGAGAAATCTGTTTGGTTAATACTTAATGTTTATAGTCTCAACAACATTGATGACTTAGTGTTTATGGTAGATATGTATTTGGTATGTCCTATTTCACGTTGAAGCGTTTATGTCAATCTAATGGACAAGAATTTTCCAAATCTAGGATTTCATCAAATTTTATTTTCTCCAATGTACCGGCGAGTTATGTCTGTAAATGTGCTATCATGAGCTTGTAGCTACTTCGAGAAGAAGAAGAGGTTGAAGCTTATATAATGAAAAAGATTGAGGTTATATAGCTTTGTTCAAAGTGTTGTATGATATGTGATGCATCGTATCATATCAGCTAAAACATTGTGAGATGCAATGGTTGTTGCGGGAAACCTCAATTTGACATTTCCTTCAATACCCCCTGTTTCTATTTTCAAATAAAACCCTTTTTGACTGTTTTCAGTTAAAACAGTCTCAACCAAATAAAAAACTCCCAATGCAATTCAAAATGCCTAGGTGGCATTGATGTGGCAGGGTTTCAGCTGGAAAATGGTAATGGTACCAAACATACCCTTAGTAGGTGCTTGGCATCAATGTCATTTCTTCGGAAAATAGCATCACATCAAAATCAATAGAAATCCATTTTTTGAGAAAACATATGTTGTTTGGTTAGTCTTTTTTTTTTTTAAAAAACGTTTTCACCAACCATGCATTAGAAATTGAGAAATGTGATGACTTGGGAAAACATCCTTTTATACTATCGCTAACAACAATATGTTGATATGACATTGAAAAACACCTATGTGACAACAACAGCAATGGTACCAAACAGAAAACCTAAGAAAACAACATGCTTATGAAATAGCGTTTTTTTGAAAAAATGACTCAAGAAACAACATTGGTTCAAAACACTATCCTAAACAGTGAATCATTCAGACCATTTGAACTGAACAATTCAACCTATATTTTTGACAACTTGTTCAAAAAACAACTGACCCAAGTAATCAAATCATTGACCCATTTGACCCATGGATTACCCGTAACCCTAGTATTTAGGGTTAGTGTCTAGCATTTGCTGAGCTGATTCAAAAGCACTTAAGTCCTTAACCCAACCCGATTATCAGGTCTATTGATTATGTCACCGAGAGATCTAAGTCCCACTAAACAATAAATGGGATTAATCTAATTATCTAATTAAATTCTACAAATCAGTGAATTCTATGACAGACTTATGGTGTATCCATGTCACTATAGTTGTTCGGGTTGACCATCGCATTATGGCTTATCTGGGTTATTTTAGACCCTATTTTACATCCTTTGCCCATATTCTAGTGGATGTTGAAATCACCTCATCCAACACCAAAAAAATCTTCACTAGCGAAAGTAGCAAAGAATTTTGCGTTTCAAAAGGAGAGTATAAAAGTGATAATACATACTTTTTAAAAGGAGCATTTTATTTTTGTGGTCAAAAAGTTTGGAGTTCAGGGTGGATTCGAGCTGAGTCAAGCCAAATAGTATTAGGCTCGAGCTCGGCTTGAGACTATTCTATGAGGCTTGAGTTCGAACTCGAGTTCGGTTCGAGCCAGAACCTTGAGTTCGAATTCGGCTCGAATCAAGAGTTCATAAGCTCGAATTCGGCTTGATTCAACTCGTTTTATATTTTATAAAAAAAAATTATATATAAAAATTTTTTATTTTATTTAAAAATTTAAAAATTATAATAATTAATAATTATAATATTTTTATTATATATATATTCGAGCCGACTTGCAAACTTCACCAAAGATAATTGGTTCAGCTAAGATAATTATCCATTCGATGGAGAAGAGTTTATCCACGTAACAAATAATGCATGGCGCATGCATGATGGATCCCATGTTAATATCTTATCATTTTCCTCCCACATAGCTGTAACAACATTCAAAGAATTATTTTAAAAGTTTGTTGTCAGCATGTCCTGAATTATTGATCCCCTTGCTTGACACGTTAATTGATAATAATTCTACGCAACAAGAGAAAATTTTGGCTGCCCGAATTTGACATCCTTGGCTATCAATAGGGTTATGGCTGCATGCCACATTATTTCATTACTCACCTACCCATGACCCATACGTCTAGCATGTATGTCCATCACCTACTAACATCATCTGATATCACACATCTCATACATTGTGGGTTCCATTTGATGGGCCCCAATTTTATACTAAAATATGCAGTGTCAGAAACAAGTTGGTAGGTAGGGCATTGGAACTTGTTTTATTGCCAAGAAATCCCAACTAGCCTAATATATCTGGCACGCTCTATGTGAACTCCATGTGAACTTGACATTTCATGTAGGGGAGAGCCCTCTATGTGAACTTAACATATCATGTAGGGGAGAGCCCTATTTTATAACCAGGGTTTGTTTTATAGACAAGGTTTTCAATGATAGGCATAGATGATGATTAGTATAAAGCTGGATTGTCAATGACTAAGGTATAACTAGTAAGAAATGCATACTTTAATAAATAATACAGAGATAAATATTATAGTCAACAATATCGGGACCCTACATATACGTATCATATAATAATTATTACTCTATTTCAATTTTTATTAAGATTTTTGGAAATTTATTTATTTAATATCTTTATATAAATAATAATTTTATTTTTTTCAAATAATAAATATATTTTCATTTTTAACACATAGTTGTTTTGATTTACATATAATTGTAAAATAAAACATATAAGGTAGGTAAAATAAATTGTTTTTATTATTTTTAGTTTTTATTATATTTATGGGAAAAATTAAATCTTAAATTATTCATTTAGGCTTTTATAATTATAATTTTATTTCAATTTTATAATTATTAAAGTTCAAAAACATTCCAAAAGAAGTCAATAGATAGTTTCATCAAACTAGCCAGCAATACACTTCTATATCAATGCGTGTTGAACCATAACCACCAATACGATGTGATACGGCCCGAAATGGAGGCATATTGTGCCAGTACACATGAATCATGATATATATACCCTATCTTGGTGTATCCTGTATCCATGGCCATGGATATGGATAGAATGGACCCGTATAAGAGCATCCTATCAATACATTAAACCTTAACTCCTAGCTCTTAGTTGGCATCATATGTGGCAATGTAGGGACATATTTTTGGGGTATCGTTTACTAACAAAGATGTAAATGCACCAACAAATACCAAGAAACCCTACCTCCAAAACAAAGGTTCTTTTCTTGGTTATATGCCTTTAGAGCCATTAGATCATTACCTAGATGTTAATGTATGTGTAATAATGAGTCGATCATCAGAAAATATTTAAATTTGATCACAGAATGAGAGTCAATATTGTTAGGACTATGGACCGGATATGATTCATTGACAATGATTCACAATAAGATGCTCAACTTCTAGAAAAACTCTCCATACCTTTAGGGCTGTAAATGGATCGGATTCAGATCAGGTTCAGCAAAACTCAAATCTAATCCAGTTATTGAAATGATATTTCTTCTTATGTATGTCTCTTTTTCCCAACAAATCATATCATATATTCATCTTTGATGGTTTGATCATCTAGAAGCAAGGTTCAAAATGATCAGATGTCCTAATTAGGAAGGGATGAAGGGTATTAGCCTTTAAAAGAAATCAGATGTCGTAACTCCCTATATTCAATGACTTAGTGACCCCAAGATAGATACGATAAGCTCAATTTTACATTTTCAATTAAACCCTACCCCCCCCCCCCAAAAAAAAAAAAAAAGAGAGGCCATTGCTTGAAAAGAGAATTTCACATGTGGTCCAACTGATTGATCGTTCCACCAACCAATAGCAGATGATGAAGTAAATGCTTGTAAAACAAAAGGATAAACTTCCTTTGATGTTATACCAGTCCAATATGTGGGTCGGATATCTTTTATTAGTACAATAGACTTGCTTTTGTTTTCTTTGAATGAATCTAGACTATC